GTCGCTGCCGCCCTCGCCGCTGCAGGCAGCCGAGCCGGCCGCTCTCGACGCGGAGCCCGCAGGGGAGGAGTGCAGCTGGGCCGGCCTGTTCTCCTTCCAAGACTTGCGGGCTGTGCACCAACAGCTGTGCTCGGTGAACTCGGAGCTGGAGCCCTACCTGCCTGCCTTCCCCGAGGAGCCCTCGGGCATGTGGACGGTGCTGTTCGGAGCCCCGGAGCTATCCGAGCAGGAGATGGACGCTCTCTGCTACAAACTGCAAGTTTACTTGGTCCACAGCTTGGATACCTGCGGCTGGAAGATCCTTTCGCAGGTACTCTTCACTGAGACTGACGATCCCGAAGAGTATTATGAGAGCCTGAGTGAGCTGCGACAGAAGGGGTACGAGGAGGTGCTGCAGCGGGCCCGCAGGCGAATCCAGGAGGTGAGTCTACAGCATGGTCCCGATATCTCTACCTTAGTGTTACCTTTTCCTTACTCTGTGACATCTTCTTTAGTCGTTCTCTCCAGCTGCTCCCCTCTACCTCTGCAGAATCGATTGATCCATGAGACAAAAAAAAGTACAGGAAAACTGTCTAGTTAGGAAAAAAAAAAAAGCTTTGAAAATCTAAGAAAATGAGGCTTAACCTTTCCAAGGTCTCTAGGGCCAGGATTTAAGAAGGTGCAGATTTCCCTAGTCGTCTAAGTGTGGCTCAGTACTTTTTTCTGTGCAATCGAATGTAGATGTTTGTGAACAAGGATCTGATGGATTTGGCAAGGTCTCGCTCCCAGATTTTTGTTCTTGCATTACTTTGCACCACGATGTGTTGGAGGCTGAATTTTTCTGTTTAATGGGAGCAGCAACATGTGGTGTTTATTTTGACAGTACAATTTAGGCACTCGAAGCCAAAAAATTTTAGGTTCTTACAGGCTCTGGGTGCTGAATCTGGTGTTTCAAGTGAGATGATGTTTTCCAGTGGAATTGGACTAACTACAACTTTTGTTCAGCTGGTAAGTTCTTAGAGTAGGGATTTTAAAAAGCAGGCTGTCTGGTCCTATCGAGTATTTACTGTGTTGCCATTGCTAGTGTCTGACAAGACTTGGATGTTTCAGGACACTCCATCTCTCTTTCTCATACCATGCTATTTAGATGAAAGTAGCTGAGGAGGTTCTGCTAACTTCTAGCATCAGTGTGTGAGAATTTTTTCACATCTTTGTGGACTGAGGTGTATAAGGATCCAGACTTTTCCAGTGAAAAAGGAGAATTTTACACTTGTTTTTATGTTTTGGTGGCCTTGATCCAGATGTACCAGGATCTACGTAGGTGCGACTATGTGTATGAATCAGGTTATGGAATTTTTTTTTTTTGCAAACACCATCTAAATTCTGTTGTATGGAAATAGGTCAAGTTTGGCTGCTTCAGCTGCCCACATATATCCTACCCATGTTGTGTGTTCTGTTTGTTCCTTGATGGAGTGTGAGCATATCTGCTTGCTGTCTGTTTTGATGGCATAGTTTTGAGTCTTTGTAGGATTCAGGCTGAGCTTTTCCTTAGTGACTGGAGTTACAGAGTGTGAGAAAATTTTTTTATCAATGATGAAATCATGATAAGGGCATCCAAGTGTAGCATTGTCAGGTACAAGTTTACTTCCAAACTGTTGTGTTAGGATATATCATTGTGATTTTTCTTTTTTTTTTTTCATGGCTATTTAAATGGCTGAATTCATCCTCGTTAATTTTAGTATACAACTGGTACTTAGTCTAATAGTATTCTGCAGTAGTTTTAGTCCAGAATATATGAAAGCGTATTGTCTTCCACTTTTTCTCTTCGACTGCATGAATGCTTGGGAGCGTGTGCTTAGATTCACTTAGCCTTCAGCTCAGCAGTTTTTATAAGGAGCTGAGCAGGACAAAATAGGTTCCTGTTACATGTGTAGAGTTTGGGAGCTGGGTGCCTAACTCAAAGCGTGTGGTGTTTTTCATGAAACACTAATTCAGAATTACTGTGCAAGAACTATTTGTTTCTTGGAGAATCTCAACTTCTGTTTTGTTAGCCCCAGTACTGTCGGCAAAAAATAAATCGGTTATCAATAGGCAATGCAAGCTTTATCCATGAAGATCTCTAAACTACATCTTATTCTCTGTTAATGTTCAGAATTTGGTGCAGACAAAATGGCAGAGCCTATTTGTGTATTTGACTACAATACAATCTTCCTTTCCCATGGTAGCCCTACAGTAGTGTACCTAAAGTCAGTACAGCTGTAGTTCTGTCACTGTCAGTTGTGTAAATTGATCCTTTTTTAATTAAAGGTAGTTCATGTTTAAGAAAAGAAACCAATAGAATGACCTGCTCTTTCCCTTTTGACTCTCGGGTTTCTCTTTTCTTTACCTGTTAGTGGTTTACTTGGTCCACAGGAAATGTCTTTCTTTTAAGCAAATAATGGTATTGTTTGTCATTGCGATTCTAAGCAAATGAAGCAATGGATGATAGGTACTGCTCAGTATTTCTGAAGTAAAGGTTTTTCGTAGTTTTAAGAGAACCTACTGAGTCAATGTTTCATCTCTCAATTTATTTTTCCGTCTGTGCCTGAAGTCTGCCTGTTAGCTGACTGCAGGAATGTCAGATTCTTGCATTTTTAAACGATTTTACCTCTTAGGAGAACTAAGAAAAAGGGAAGGGATTGAGCAGGATTGGCAACCAAAATGCTATCAAGAAGCATAATGAATGTGGAGGGTCTTCATTAATGTAAAATTGTGCAAAAAACAGGTTTAGAACTCCAAGACTTTGGCTTAACATTTTAAAGTATGCCTCTGTGGTTTATAATTATTTCATGTATCTCTTTTTTCCAGGACAAGTTCCTTTGTGCAGTTAGATATTACTTGAGAAATGCTTGCAGTTTCTGTTGATTATATTCTTTGGGGTGGAGAAGCAAAGTGAGCAACAAAACCTCTCATGTTCATTGTTTCAGCATCCCCTATTTGGCCATCTGTTGCTTTCCATAAGTTACACACAAGCCAGTTTATTTTCACAGCAGTTGATAATTGTTGCTCTTTGTAATAGGCATTTTTATCTCTGTCTCCATTGTAAACGTTTAATAAGCCAGAAGAATGTTGCAAGTAGAAACAGATCCAAGATGAGGAAGAAAAATAGTTGCAGAGAAAGTGTATGACCTGGAATTAATTTCTTCTGCATAATTTGCAGTTTTGAAATAGCACATCTTTTATTTTTTCAAATAAAACTATTAATTCTGGAATAGCTTAGAAATTTAATTTATGTTAAAGTAAAAACTTGTATCTAAAGGAGTAAACATTATTCTACCTCATTTTTGAAAACGAATAAACACTTGTTTGGAGCCCTTGTTCATTAAGTTTATGCCTGTTTAAAAAATTCCTCAGGTGCTCAGCTAGAGGTCTGAGCTCCCAAATGGAGACATGATACAGAATCAGTTAATGACCAGACAAAAAGTTGTTATTTCAACAGAGAGGATGACACTGAATCCTTATTTGGGATTCCAGCTTCTTGGCCAGTATTTCCAAAATCTTAAACTTTGTGTCTAGAAGGCAGAAAAAGTTCTCCTCTGTACTCTTGTTCCTGCCAGTTTCCTGTCTATGTTCCTCCCCATATAACATGGGAGGAGTTTTTCTAGGCTAAGTGTACATGCTTGTAAATTTTTGTGAGTATAGTAATATCAAAGATGGTGTCATACCTCTTTGTCAATGCTGTGTTGGCAAAAGGTTGAACGTAGTCACAATTTTGCTGAATAAAAAGTGGTGTTAGTATAAACTATGATTAAAAGGGTTTGGTGGTTTAGTCACACCAACAAACATGTTCCATTGTATGCTTATCCTTTTACTTGCTCTTGCATAGTGAGTTGTGATTTTGGGAAGCCTACTTCAGCATCTTTGAATTAATGGTACCTGTGAATCTCTCTGTTCCTTATTGGAATTGCCTTCCATTGCCTTCCATGGCAATCTCTTAATTGCCATGGCAGTCTGAAATTTGGCAGATGATAGCCTATAGGATCTTGAATGCCAGCTTTATACCTAGTCAGAGACTTGCTTTCTTTTTGTTGTTGCTCTGTAAAATCTATGAATTGTAGTATCTGCAGGCAGACTGTTAAAGACCATTTTGCATCTCTGTTCTGTGTGTGTTCTTTTGGATTGCTTTAATAGAAAAGTTCAGAAATACGTTTTAGTGGTGATTAAATTCTGAAGAAATTCTGCAAGCATCTTATTTTCTGTGGCTAACCTCAGACTGCATTGGGAGTGAGGACCTACTGATATTTTTAATCTCCTTCTCCTGTATAGTAGAATATTGTAGTAAGCACCAGAAGAACCCTGGGAACTTCTATCTTATGTTGGTTGGCTTAATTTTCTTTCGGTTCGAAGGGCTAGAAAGGTTAAGAAAAATTAACATAAACATTTTTTATCTATTTTGTTACAGTGACAAGTTGTATGAGAAGAAAATGTAGGTTTTTTTACAGAAATGTTTTCTTCTTAAATCAGTATGTATACAATTTTTTAAAATGACTTGCACAGCTTCAGTAGGGAAGTATTTTTTTGTTTTCACTGAATGAAATATGATTGTCAAATCACACAAATTGGTAAGTAATTGATTTGGTTAGAAATAATGGAATTTCACATTTGTTGCTTTCCAAGGGTGCTGTCACATATTTCTGTTTACATCAAAAAAGCTAAGTAATATCCGGAGGTTGTTCTTTTGCTTTGTTGAACCTATTTTAGAGAAAATTAATATTTAGAATCATCTCAGTAACTAGGTGAATTTTATTTCCTTGCTTTTGACTATATGCATTCAGTTCTAAAGTGAATGTCTATATGGTAGGTAGTGGGGCGCTGTACCAAAAATGCAAGTCTTCCAGAGGTAAGGTGACCTGTTTCTATTCAATGATCTACTGCTAGGCATAGTGTGATTTGAAGAGAGACTTGAACATCAAACTTGTAAACAATGCAAAAGTAAATAGTACTAAACTCTACAAAAAAGTATTTGGTGTTTCAGTAATACAAAAAATAAATGCTAGCAGTAGTGTTCCATCAAAACCAATGCAAAACCAGCTATGCAAGAAGCAAAGAAAACTGCATCCTGTATGTTTACTGCAATAGCTAGATTTACAAGATATGTAAGGTGTCTCGGAGAGAACACTGATTCAGATTTAACTTTGGGAGCAGAGAGGATTAAAATAAGATATGCTGTGAATTTTTTTTTCCTATTGACATGAACAGAGCATGTTCATGTTAGTTAAGACTAATGCTGAGCATTCTGGAAATCCAGCCTATTTTTGTTTGAAAGCTTCTTTTTACGTACTCATTATTTGTAGTGTTAACAGTTGTTTCCAGTAAAACTAGTTGTTTCCAGTAAAACTGTTTTGATTCACTTCTAAACACTTTGTAAATAGGCTATTTAAGTACTCTACCAGTACTATAAGT